GGTTTCTAGCATTGTAAGTCCGCAGACATACCGCTGTGCCACTGTGGGAACTAGAAGAAATGCCTACACTCTAAAGAATGGTAAAAGTTTGTTTTTTTATGTGGTCTAATTGTGACATACTAGTGTGTTAAAAATGATGAAATAGCAAAACTTATTGAGAGCTACTTTATTTTAAGGTAATGGTATTTGAACATAATCGGTTACAAATGCAAGGTGAATGAGCTTTAGTAAAGTTTAAAAAAAAATTAATATATATATATATCACTTATTAATATAATATCTTTTACACAAATGGTAATCTGGACTTCAAAGTAAAACCTATGGAAATGGAAAGATGCATTATCAACAAGCATGGTAATTTAATGAAAAGGACTTGAACATTTTTTATATCGTATATATATATAATTTCCCTTTGATAATAAATAATATTTGAAATTTGTACATTTAAAAAAATAAGGATATAAAGATTGGTTATTTAGTTCCATGTAGAATAATCAGCTATTCACATAATAGCTGATTAAGAAGATGTAGTCTGTATATCTACAGTAATCTGCATTTCAGTTAAAAGAGTTACTTACAGTTAAGTAATTTTCAGGTTAATTTACAATTTAACTTGTTAATTATTTACTTTATTGAAATATTATTTACAAAATTTATTTTTTCTAGATGGTTAATAAGGGCCCATATTTTATAAATGATTTCATTGTTCCGTCTTTGGACAAGGAATCATTTTTCAATCTGAGATGGATAAACAGGGATCAAAAACTATACAAGGTCATCTGGCCACACAAGGGTTCGCGTTTGTGGAAAGAGAAAGACTTTAACATATTTCGAGTAAGTTTTCAAGAAATTTTGAGCAGCAATGTAAAATCTTATCATTAAAATGATACTGGCATAATAAACAGTTTATTACAAGTTTGAAATAATGTTATATTACTAATTTGAATTGTTTTAAATTACAGCAGTTTTGTACATTTTTTCATTAAAGTCTTCAGTTTGTTTTGTATAAAGTAATAGCTAACATAGCTTTTCTACTAAATTAAAATATCAAGTATCACATAATGAGAAACTTAATTACAAATTACATTTTAAAAATTTAAGTTTAAAAAAAAATACTATTTTATTTTTAAACCGAAATTATATGAAGCTAATTCCTCGATTGTACACATCATAATTTATTTATTACATTTGTAATTCACATAATAGCTGATTAAGAAGATGTAGTCTGTATATCTACAGTAGAGAGGAGAGAAAGTAATCTGCATTTCAGTTAAAAGAGTGATTCCAATATCTGATTCCAGGAATGGGATATAATGAAAGGCAATCATCATCCAGAAACTCCAGGATACTGGACATATGCAAAGCAGAGGTTCAGAAATGCCCACTCTAAGCTGGAAAAACTAGGAAGAGTAAAAAGGGAGAAAAATCTAGAAGCTAAGGGATTTCGGGTGTACAGAATAATGAGTAAGTTGTTGAATATTATATACATTTATCTTTCTCCTTTTTGAGTTCAATTCTAAAAATTTATCATAGTTACAAACATCTGTTCTAAGAAATTCTGTCTCAGGTAAAAACGTGATTTTGATAAAAAATCAATATTCAAACATTCAGACATGACAAACTAGGTCAAAAAGTAGCTTAATTTTGTGATTACTGTTTCAATGAAAATTAGTATTTTAGGACAAAATTGTCTTGATGATCCTTGTGATACTTTAGAGTATTTTATATAACAGTTTTGTTGTAATACAGCACTAAAATTGGTAAAATGTTGTTTTAAATAAAACAATCTTTTTAAAAACAGGAATGATCTTAATATTCTTACTTGCATAAATATTAAGCTGTCCTTGCCATATTCTTTGTGTGTATATATGTGTGTGTTTTGTTACAGCACTAAAGTTGGCAAAAAAAGTTGAGTTAAAAAAAACACATTTTATTTAAACAGTATCTTCACTGCATTGAAAATTAGGATACTAATGGATTTTTCACTTTCAGACTCAATAGACCCACCACAAACACACCAAAAATTGTGCAATCTATCCAGCTGGCACATTGAAAAACAATACTGTGTTTCAGATGATGTTTTAGCTAACACACTACTCTCAAACAAGTCTGTACATTTATATCTTGTGTGTGAAGATGAAACCTACAATATTAATTTAGGACATATTGAGGGTACTGTTGTCACAGCTGGTGCCAATGAACTTTTAGAGCAGTCTGTGATACAAGATGGAAGAGAGCTAAGGAAAGCAGGGTCTACTAACAGAAGTGTTGAAGCTGTTCTACTGGAAACTGATCAGCAAGAAAGTGTAGTTCATACAGTAGAGAAGTTTGATTCGAAGTATGAAGATATCATTGGTGACCCAATCCTCTCCCAAGCAATTAAAAATGATAAGAGCATAAATCTAGTGAATTTTAATCTTCCTTTCTATATTCCAAAAGATGATGAGAAGCAGATTAACACTGTGCTAGATCCTCTGTTTGATCATGATGAAAGTCTGTCACTGTATGATGATATGGAGTTGAATGATGATAATTTGCAGTTTCCACATGATTCAATCTTTTCGAAAAATCTGGAACTTACAGAGGTATGCAATAAGTATCTTAGTTTAAATGCGTATTAAAGCTCATGAAGTGGTGCCATGTTATATGGATGTATGAAATATATATATTCCTTACAGTAGTTTTTTATTTTTAACACTATGACACTTATTTTTGTAATTCAGATCCTTAGATTCTTTTTACTGCATCAATACTGGTAGTTTTTGCATTTCCTTATAATGTCACTTTTAAATGTTTAAACTAAAGGGGAGTTCTAATAAACTGCAAGTTTCTCAGTCTAATTTTTACTAGGGGAAAGTAGCTTTCAACATAAAGTATAAGAACATATATAGTAGAACTTTTTCTTGAAAATTGCAAAATGTTGACACTAACTTGTGCTTTTAAAACATTGCTAATTTCTGATGTGTCAATGACAAGAGACACTGGTGTTATTTTTTATAATTCTCAGTATTTTTATAGTAATTCAAGTAAGTAGCTCATTATTCTATTAGTATCCTGTATTCAAAATCACAAATTGGGCATTAATAAAGTACACAACATTATCTGAAGTATTGATTGATATACCATCATTCCAGCAAGTAATGAGACTATCCTCATTGAATTTAGATGTGGGTCTAATGGTGCATAGTGCTGATTAGAGCTTTTTAAATGTCAAAAGAAACAGCTAAACAATTTAGTCTATTTAATCATACCCCAAATTATATTGTTAGCATTGTGCTACAGAACACAGGACATGCTACTAAAAACTTACCTTTAATCCACACAGACTTTTGTAATTTTTCATGAAATGAGACTGAACATTTGCTATTAAATTTAGACTCTGGAAACTCCACATTTATGCTTATGGCAAAACAACTCCTTGGCTTAGAAGAATATTCTAATTTAATGTGACAGATGTTAGTATCTGTGTGTGAAATTTAAATACCAAAATACACTTTAGCACATATGAAATTTCCACACACAGACTATTTCACTGGTAAATATAGGATTTACAGTATGGATCAAATGTGTGTTATATAAATAATCTTTAAATGACCTTTTACAATGTAAGAATATATTTAATCACATATCCTGTTTGTCATTTCACAGGAATTCAGGAGCCTATTTGGCAATGTGGTGACAGAAGAATTAAGGGAGAAAGATTTTTTTTTTGAGAGAAGTAATCTTGACTAACAAACCTGATGTTAAAAGGTTTTCGTTTTTTCACTTGTACAATTAAAGAATTAAAATCGGATTGAATCAATGTAAGTTTAATTTCTGCCTGAATATGTTTCCTCTGCTGTTAAACACTTTAGTAAAACAGATACAGTAGTGCAATGTAGAAGTTGTCTTATTTTGCAGTTCTTAAATACTGTAATTTTGGTTTGCAAAGTAATCTTAATATGATGGAAATCATAACAGCAAGTCTGTAGTTAATGTTTGAACAGTTTATAAAGTTCTTTTAGACTATTTAATAAAAAGAATGATGCAAACTCCAGTTTACTTAATGATAATGAATTGTTTCATTTCTTGAACGTTAAGTTCTACAATTTGACTTAACTAATGCTCACTGGTAGGCTTAAGATCACAGTAGATGATAAATTACAACAATATCACTTAGTTTCTACCTTTTCTCGTATAACACAATTTATAAACTCATGTGCTGTTCTCTGATAACATGACCTAAAACATTTATCTAAAACACATTAATTAGACATTAAAATATGATGAGGAGAAGAATATTATACTGTTCTGAGGGTACTAATAAAGTTGACATTTCTGCAAATTGTATGCCAAAACTATTTCAAATTTTTAAAATGCATTTTGCCACACTTAATGACTTGGGATTTACATGTTTGTTACTGCTCAGAAGGTTGAAGTTATGATATGGCTGAGTAACTTTCAAAGCTACAGAAGTGATTATGTTAGCTAGGATTGGATGACATAATCAAATATTTCTATTCACACAGTTACAAAAAATTATCTTTGACAAAGTTTAAAATAGCAAAATTCTTAAACATGATATTCTTGAATGATGCTGTTCGAAAGGACAGAATTAAATTTGTCTGATTTGCCTTTAGTTTGTAATAGACAGAAATTAAAGTTTGTTCCTAATGTATTGACATAAAACAATGCATACATGTATCCCTAAACAATAATAACTGAATATATTAGAAATAGGTGTCTAATACAAATGTGAAATTATAAATTACATGCAGTACATGGGGAGATATTATTTTATCAATTAGCTAGACATTAGAGCTAAGGCCTTGAATAATTTTGGTATTAAAGGGTATGTAAAAATAAAGTACATATAGATGAAAACAGTTCTATTGTCTAAGTAAACTTAAGCTCTTTCATAATAACTATGCTTTGACATGAACACATACAATATACAAACTAATGACAAAGTGCAAGCTTAATCAGGCTGTTTGTACTAATTCCACACAAATCAACTGTAACTGTACCAATCAACTTTTTTATGCTACTGCTCAACTATATCGTAGGTTAAAACATTATGCATCATCAATCATAAACTGAGGGTATAAATCAGAAGAGCCTGTATTATCTGCTTACTACTTGTAAACTGTATAATGGCAAATCTTAATATTAGTCTAATCAGAATTTCCATTTTTTAACTTTTGATTGAGTTCTGGTCACTTTGCCTAAATCATATCACATAGCACTTTTATTATAACACTACACTACAAACATTTACTAAAATATATTTAAAGTGAATTTTATAAGAATAAATAAGAAATTGTCTCTTAATAAATAACTTTCTAGTTACACACACACATACTATCTACAGTAACCTTACTTCTGGTATAGCACAGCTTCAGATGTTATTGGAACAGTGGTGTAACTTGTGCAGTAAAGCTTCTGATGTGTGAAGAGTGGCTGTTACTTATTGTGAAGCACAGTTGAAGATGTATTCAGTCATTGAAACAGTTGTGTTACTTTTCGAGCAGTAGTATTGCCAACAGTTTCAGATGTACTTATGGATAAAAATAGAGATAGTGTTGTTATTACTCATGAATTATAGAAATTTAAATTGTAAAAAGAAAAACTAAATGATCTTTTACCATAACTACAGTAAAAGGCAACATGAAACATATATATAATAGTTGTATATATTTTAAGCTGCACTCAGAGTAACGTTTTACAGAAGGCTGATGATTGTAAACAAATACAAACGCTTATTTTGAAAAGGGAAAATTTTCAAACTTTGATTCAAATGATGTATGATCTTAAGCACAAACAAGTAGTTACTTAATGGACAAGGAGGAGATCTTCATCTTTATTTTATGATAGACCTCGTGTTAGTACAAACCACTGGAATTTATAAAATAATAATACATATCATCATTAAAATTACAACATAACAGAATATTATCATCTTAAGTAACAAAAATGAAGCAATTACAAAATTAAAATCATTGTTATTTTCATCCTTACTGCTACAGATCACCTAGGTGTTCTTTGTGCAGGTAAGTAAGTTGTGGAATAATCACACATTTTCTAATTAAGGAAAAAAAGTACTGACAGCATTGTTATAACAAAAGTCTGTTTTGTATATATGTTTTCCATAAATGCAAGTACAAACTTTTAACATTTCAATAGTATTATAGCTTTGGAACTAACAGCTACTTTATTAGTATTATAAGTTTTGTCTCTTATAGTTCTGAGTAATAAGGTAACGGGTGACAGGATAATAAGCACATGATCAAATAAAAATAAGTACATTTGTATTTTTCATTCACTTAATCACAACACATTTTCATAAGACAAATTAGTCTAACTGAACACACATCTGCGACTAATTTCATCATAAAATGTCATGAGAAATTTTTAAACTTTGTTTCACTTTTGAAACGTAACCCAATTAAGCATATTTAGTTTTTGTGAAGAAAATAATGTTAGTGTTGTCCAATGTGCTTATTTTTCATCAGAAAACAAATTAAAAGTATTCAATAGCAAATATTACATTAATATATGTACAATTCAATAATTCTTCCTAAACTAAGTTTAAATTATCTCTTTTTGACCCTCATTTGCGAAATCACATTAAGTAACTAAAGAAGAGGGTCAGGCTCAAAATTAAGTTTAATTTACTAGACTTACTACCTATGACCTGTATACTTTAAGATTCTGTAAGAAAACATGTTAATAGAAAAACTCTTTTAGATTAGCATAGTAATGAAATCAATTGATATTTGGTCTCTTTCACCAACATATTGTTAATTGGTCCCTGGCTTACACAAAACACTATCAGATTTGGTATAAATCTTGATACAAGTTATCCACATATAGTAAAACATTGAGTAATAAACAACACATTAATTCTGTAGTGTAAATAACACTGTAACCAATATACATTTGAATCTCAATCACCCAGTACAAGTTTCACCTCATTACTTGAGAAATTAGGTAGTCTACAAACAAAGAATTCACCTATTTAAAGTAAGAAAATGTAATACAAGTGTAAGAATTAACTGAACATCTGTACAATTTATTGGTCACTTTATCATGAAAACAAGCTAATATTCCATTATTTTCTTGTAACACACCACAGTCTACTAGCAGTACACAAATGTATATTTTGTTATCTTATATACAGTCTTAATGGAAAAATACATCAGGTATTGACTCTTTTTTTTTTTCCCATCAGTGTTACTGAATTCTTAAATGCTTGTGAACAAATTATGCCACAGACTAAAAATTTGTATCAGTAACAGATGCTGAGGTATAACTTTTGGTAATACCAATATATTTTGGACTAACAACATTATATTTCTCATAAACAAAAGCAACTTCCTAATAAGTCTTAGTCATTTATGATTACAACTATCAAGGTGTTATTGACATTAATCAAACTCTTTTTCACTTCTACAAGACAATGTTTAGGTGTTGTTTTTTTTTACATAATGTATAATGAGACATTAAATTTCTTTCCTTTTCCTATTTTTCAGATACTAAAGTTCATGTAAATGTAGCTCTTTTTTTGTTTTTAAATGAATGAAATAATAATCAGATTGTTATATCTATAATAACCTCATCCACATACTGTCACTACAACTTGTATAGCCATAAAAGTTGCAAAGGAAATATTTTTTAAATCCACAACACAATACTTCAAATTTTATGAAACAATCTGTTATAAAGTTTTTTCTGGGATTTAAGAACAACTTGTTATCATAAGATTTGGTTTTGTGGAATAAATTACCTCATTTTTCAAACAAGATCACAATTCTGGTGCTAAAATGAAAAACAAATTCACACTTTCTTTAATAAATTTTTTTTTCTATAATTTAAAAAACAGAACAGAATGGTCTTCTGCTTAATGTTTTTTTAAAAAAGCACTTCAATATGGAAAATAGTGTAAAACTTGTATGCTAAGCAAATTACTTATGGAGTTTTAGTCAATTGCATGATATAAGTTCAAATAATGATATATACAGATACATAAATTTGAATTCTTTAACAAACAAAAACAATCATGGTAAGTTGAATGTTATTGAATTTCTTATTTAAATTCTATATATATATGTTATTTCTCACCAATTGCTAATTGCTTACTTTATTATTATTTACATATTACAATTATTATGAAGTCATTCACTGTAGCTCTTATACTTTAATTTGAAACTATAACATTCTGTATTTCTGTTGTGCAATGGTGCAGTCTGCTCAATAAATGTTTGACACTGAAGATCTGACTAATAAATAAATACCATACTTGCATGTTTTAAATTTAAATTCCAGAAATACAACAACAAATCCCTTTAATTGTTCCTTGCAACTCTAAGGTGCTCAAACGCTATGTAACTTGTTCAGTATTCTATAGGCTGAAATCTCTTTTTATTCTTGCTAACAATTTTTTCATGATTAGTTTTAAAACATCTGAATATGTTTCAACTACTATGTACTGAGTGTTTTATCTGTTTGCTTCGATAGATTAACACTTGCAGCAGTATGGCAATGTCGATTGACACCTGAAGAATTCCACATACACAAAACTGAATGGGAGAGTTGCGAAGGATAAAGTAACAAGTCTTGAAAATGTCTCCCATGGTCCACATGATTACCATCTTCTTGCTATAAAAACAAATAAACTGAAAGTGAACTGCATAGGTTTCAATTAATTCAGAAAACAATGTTTAATAATTATCTGTGCAACATAGACTACAATCAAACTCTACATCATTAAATCTACTGGTGTATCTATATACTACCTAGGTAATTCCTCAATAGTTTCTTTACATTTAGATGAAAACACTGCTTTAAACAAACACTTTATTCTTCCAAGATAATATGTTGTTCTTAAAACATTTACAAGTGTTTGAAATAAGTGGTTTCTGGCTGCCTGAGACAACTCAAATTATTGTCAGACAACTCAACTGCACTGCTAAGTTGTCTGTTGGACAACCACAACAATGGCAGTCTAGGCATCTAGCCCATAATGTCACGTTCAGAGTACAATATAAATTACAAGTAATACGTCTGTGTGCACTGTGTTCTGATTTCTGCAGGGATGTGATCATCAAGATTACACAAACTATTTATTAATAACTGTTTTTTATAATATCTGGCAAACCTGTCACAATTTACGATCAATAATAGATTGTCACTCAAAGGATTTTGCTAATGCAATGTTCATTACCACCATTTATATTTTGCATGTTTTTGTACATTAGATTAGATACCATTTTTGATGCAAGTTGTAGATCACAATCGGCTAAGCAAGTTTCAATTTTTCACTTTAACTTTGTATCAAAGATGAGCAATCAAGACAAAGTAGGCATGAAGTCTTCTAAAAGAGAGGCCAATCATGAATACGATCAAAACAAATGCAAAAGAATGTTCCAAAGTTCCTGGCAAAACTGACTGTCCATGGCTGATGTATGATCTAGGGAAGGCGGTCATGTTCTACTTGTGAAGTTCCTTGATAAAATAATGATTTTCTATCACCTAATGTACTTTCTAGAGTGATATTTGATTTAGGACAATGTAACATCTAGTTTGTAATTTTTATTAGTGTCACGATATAAAAGACTGTTTCGTTCAGATAGTATTGATTAATTTAATTTTGTGAGTGAATATTTTATTATTGTTTAGTTTTTGTTATAATAAGAGTTAAAAGCAGACGAATTTAGAAAGTTTTGTTAATAATTCATTGATGTGGAGAATATAGAAAGCAGGCAGACCAGTAAATGATAATGATATAAATAGCATGAGACGAGCAGGAAGCAGCAGACAGACATAAGCAGATACATAATAGTGAAAGAGAATAAAGTTGGTGTGAAGTTAAGTACCGTAGATATGATAGGCCTAAAGATGGACATAGGCCTAACGTTTAATATGTTAACAGTGAAACTAACATTAGAAAAGAAGATAAGAAAAATAATTTTACTCCGTCGAAGCGTGGTTCTAAAGTAATTGAATCAGCCTGAGTGCACTTTGACAAAAAGAACAGAGGATCTTCAAAAGAAAAAAGACGAAATGATTACGGTAACTCATGCCACAATTGTAAGCAAATCACAGAGAATACTAGTGTGATAAAAATAGAGAAGATAGTTTGGCTTGTCAACTGAAATTCTAAGGTAATTGAATAGGCCTAAGTGGATAGTTGACAAAAAGGAGAAAACTACATTTCAGCTGTTTGATGGTTACGTTGAAATGATCCATCTAGAAAGTTCACTATTTTCACAAATTCAAGTGGTGATTACTCTTAGTGTACAAGTTAGTTGCAAATGCCAAAAATTTAAAAACTTAATAATTTCTATTGTTTGAAAGTACCTTCCTCTAAAATTGTGTGTATTAATGGTTGCCAAAACAATAAACTTTACCAGGATTAGCCCACAAAAAAAACAAAAAACCAGTACATATGCACTTAAAAAGGGGAATATAATTTATGTGATACATGCAAACTGAGCACAGGTACAAGAATTAATGATTAAAAATCATCAAGTGTTTACCATAGCTATCATATAACACCAAATTTGTCAAAACATTTTTATAACTATTTTGAAATATCTAGTGACCCAACCATCCATAAATTTATGGATACTCAGTGAAAAAAAGTTGCATTTTAACGCTTTCTATAAATCCATAAATAACAAAATATGTTTTCTGTTAATGATGTCAGCAAAAAATTATGTTGTCAGTTAAAAAAATCACTGTTTATTGTTATGTCAATAAATATAAAATTGTAATGTTGGCAACCCTGCCTAGACCAAAAAAAAAGTCACAAGTCTTCATCATCCAGTTCCCATGAAATAACAGAAGGAAACAGTATAAGAAAAAATAAGTGAAAAAAATATTAGTGTGCGATAGAAAATAAGTATAACCTGAAACAAGAACAAACAGATTTGGATCTTTTGTATTAACACTAGACAGACCATTGTTAATTCTGACTTATACAGTGTTTCCAGTATCTTCTCATGTAAAAAATATAAAACTATGGAAACATAACAGATCAAATAAGTAGTGTTTTAAGGCTGACAGTTCATAGGATGTTCTATGTAATCTATAATAAGGAAATTAATAGTCTTGATTAAAAATTTTAATAAACTAATTTCCAAGACAGTTATTATGCTCAATATCATTACTTTTAGCTAATGATCAAGAATAAAACCAGCGAGGAAGAGGAAATTTATTAAAAAATTAATTTGGATTAGGTTAACTAAACTGAGTTTTTCTTTTAAACAATATACAATTTATGTATGATATTTGAATTCCCCCCCCCCCATTTTTTTTTCTCACAGCTTTAATTACTCTGAATTTTTAAATGGTTATTTATTTATAAAACCATATATAATGTATTGGCCTAAAATATATGAACTGCAATCATTGGTGTTTATCATAAATATTGCCAATGCATTAACTGAACCCATAAAACAATTCAGGTACAAAACAATACAGGTGACTGAAAATTTTCAGACATACGTGGGTCTATTTATTTCATGCACTCAGTGAACTTAATAATTTTGTTAGACATGAGTTTTTTATTTTTACTATCAATCTATTTATCTATTCATGTACATCTACAGTAAAGTCTTATAGCCTGAGACTCATGGTCTATGGTTTTATCGAAAATAGACCTTGGATAACCCCATTACACACACCAAGAAATGTATTTAAAATTTTGTTAACAACTGATACCAGTGTAACATTTTACTGGTCTTGACAATTTATGTAATAATTAGACATGGACTAATAAATATCATATAACCAGCATTAGCAGAAATGTATTCTCTATAAACTGAGCCAGTTTTTAGGAATTTTTATCCTTCTGAAAAATGATTTCTTTAATGAAAAACATTTTCACAAGACAGAAATTTGGTATTTGTAAACTTACCTCATGCCAAATGTTGATTTATTTTGATAGTTTCTTAAAAACTGGGGAGCTCCAAGCATTGCTTCCATCAGTACCGCTAAAAATCCAATGACTTCTATGACTAAGGAGACGTCTATAAATATGTACACAATAGCTCCAACCACTAGAGTGAATGTTACAAGAAACTCAATGTAACTCAAAAAATCTGTCCACTTCCAGAAGAACCGAGGATCAAAATCTGTTAAATCAAAAGATATAGTTACAGAACAACAGAAAGAAGGTGCCATACTTCTCCATTAAGATAAAGTTTCACTCATAATATCAGTTAAACACATATGCATGAAGAAACATAATAAAATTCATTATGTAAACAGACTTCAAAATTCAAAAACTTTGTATTTTTAATACTATTATAATTATAGTTAAACAACCCCCAAAATTTATCTGGAATGAAAACTAAATCCCCATTTCTGTACACACTATTTTCTCTACTTGTACTAAGTGTCAAGCCATCATATGTCTAGCTGAAGTAGTGTAACAATAGAACTCTTATTATGTTCTGTTGTACGTATTATGATTATGTTTCTTGCATGATAATAAACACTTTAAACAAAACTGTTATAATGTTTGCTTAATATATATATTATAGGAACTTGTGTACATTAAACAACAAAAGTCCTACTTGTCAGTAAAAAAAAACCTTTAAACTTTTAAATTGTTTGTACAAAAACTTCAATTATTTTACAGCCGAGTGACCTTCCAAAGTTTCACTCAAGTTTAATCTTAATTGTGATCTGGCACATGCAAGTTCTTTTGAGTTTCTTCAATGAAAAGCATTATATATATATATATGGAGAAAGGAAGAAAATTAATATTCTGCACTTTAAGGAGATAAAGTTGTAGATCAAATATTATTCCCGTCAAACGTATTGTGAAATATCATCTACCAAGCATGTAGAGTTTAAATAACAAACATAATAGTTTTCAGAGATTAGTTTAGAGTCTAACCAACATTCATAATATTTTTTTGAGATTTTCTAACATTTATTATTTCTCACTGAATTAGTACACTTGTTGTCATTTTCAACAAATATTGCCATATTGTTAAAGAAAATAAAACAGAAAGTGTGTATATTTCTTCTCTTCACTTTTATTAGTTTTTGTGATCATATGGAGTTATGAGATGTAAAACAAGTAAACTTCTATTCTGTTAAATTATAACTCAATGAATTCATGATGCTTTGCACAGAAAACAGTTGTTCAGACACAAATGGGCTTTCTAAGGGCTTGTAATTTACGAGTGAATCAATCACAATTATCTACAGAGACATCAGAAGCTGAAAATGAAAAATACATATATGAATACTTTCTTTAATTCAAATAAATGTACACTTGTGAAAACAAAATGGTGGTAAGTCAAACCACTCCCCAAGTCAAAGAAATATTTCTGAAAACACAAAAGTGTAAATTGTTTAATGTAACACAAACAATCAAATAACATGTCTCTGCATAATACACTAACTTAATTTTCATTACACCTAATATAACAGTATTTATCAAAAACAATTAAAGTAGAAGCAAATGACGCATAAAAGTAAGTTTGGATGACTGTAAGATGCAATTTTATTAAACATGCAGAAAATAAATTCAGAGTTCAAGTACAGAAAAGCACACTTTATCTTAAACTAATACAGCACTCACAGAATAAACAATAATTTAAAAGTCAGTGTCAGGCAGTCAACAAGAATATTTCATGGTGTATTTTACATCAACCAAAGAAATTTCAGCTATCTTTCATGAAATTAACCTACTGATTTTAAAACGTTACACAGTTAAACTTAATTATGTCTTGATGTAAGTTATACAAAAAGATATTTCACAAAGTTATAATAAATTTCTTTTATTTTCTATACTATTATAAGTATGTATTTTATAAATAATATATGAAAATGTATAAATGCCAATATTGTGATCTAGTTGCACAATCTATGCATCAGAGAATAAACTGTGGCATATAATAAGGAACAAAAAATATATATACATACTTCTTTATCTGCAAATCAATATGTAATACCATCAAGCACAACAAGACATGTTTATATATGCTCAAGAAAATATGGTATGATGTGAACCAATTATACCCAGCTCTTTAGCTTTGTTGTTTATGCTGGAAAATGAACTTTCACAAACAGTATTGGTGGGTTTGATGTTAATTCACAAAATAATTGTTTCTGTTAATGTTAGTATCTTCTTATAGAAAAAAAAAAACCTGGTGAACTTGTTAATCTAATATACTCACGTTTAAGATTAAATATCAAATTATAAAAAATATTCCACAGATATAGAATTACAAGTACTACGAGTTAGTCTTTATTTCCAAATTTTCTTTTAAGTAATTTGTAAATTATTATCTAAAAAAATTTCTGAAGATATTTTAATGCATATTAAATGTAGAAGAGTATAATGTCCCTTCACATTATACAAAATGTACCTCATGTTTCACATTGTACTAACTGTACCATATCATTTTACAATATATTAAATGTACCATGTGCTTCACATTGGATTATCTGTACCACATACTTTACATTGAATTAACTGTTAGAACAATATACACATTGGATTAACTGTCTTTAATGCTTCACAGTCCATAAACTGTTTCATATGCTTCATACTGTATTAATTGTACCACATTTCATTTTGCATTAACTGAAACACATGTTTGAAATTGTATTAAGTATACCTCATTCTTCACATTGGATTAACTGTACAACATGCTTGACATTGTATTAATTGTACTACATGCTTTACATTGTATTAAATGTACCAAATGCTTCACACTGCACTAACTCTACCACATGATTCATACAACTGTAGTTCATGCTTCACATTGTATTAACTGTCCTACATTATTTACATTGGATTAACTTTACCATGTTTCACATTGCATCACACACCCCTTCATGATAATAACCACTTAGGTTTGAAAAATACATAATTCTTTTGGAGTGAATTATGGATGGGAAGGAAGTGTAATGTGGGAAAATGAAATGACCAGTGATATCCTGGGTATTTATGGTAGTTCATCATGACAACACTATAGTGTATAGGTTTGTTTGTGGTGGGGATGTTGCATGCTAATTTATTGCATATGAAAAGAAAAAAAAGTAGGGAAGGACAGTGAACCATAAGCAACATCATAATCTTCCCACATGACTAAATGTAAAATAGTTGTATCACAGCATACTACCTGTAATATATGACACTAATGACATATTGTAGTAACTACAATGATAATAACATACTGTACTAGCTATATGACACTAATAACATACTGTACTAGCTATACAGTATAATAACATACTGTACTACCTATACAACACTAACATACTGTACTACCTGTACAACACTAACATACTGTACTAACTATATGACACTAATGACATATTGTACTAACTATATGACACAAATAACAACTGTACTACCTATACAGCACTAACAACATACTGTACTATCTATGACAATAATGACATACTGTACTAACTAAATGATACTAATGACATACTGTACTAATTAAATGACACTAATGACATACTGTACTATCTTTATGATAGTCACTTCAAACTATATTAACTATATCAGTTACTTCACACAGTAGTAACTACGATGGTTAGTTTGCCCTGCACTATGTACATGAATGATTTCACACTTTATTATTTACATTAATTATTTTACACTGTACTAATTATATCACAATTACTTACACTGTGCTAGCTATATGACAGTTATTTCATGCTATACTTATAGTATGAGAACAACTTGCACTGTATTAACTACATGAATGACTATTTCACACTGTATTAAATATACAAATTACTGCACACTATTGACTACATGAATTACTACACACTTTAGTAACTACATTATTATTTCACACAATTACAACTGTACAATGTTCTTACACTGTACTACCTACACAAGAATGACTATACAACAACTGTGAGTCTATTGTATAACAGAAATTTAAAGTATGTTTCATTGAAAATATTAAGAACTGTAAAGTGAATTATTTAATTGGTTTCCAAACATAATATTTACTTCATGGGCATAATCAAGCTACAAATATGAAATAACATACCCAAGAAAACCCGATATGAGGGAAGGATGATCGTTTCGCTACGATGACTGGGAGTCCGATCATCTTGTTTATGCCCAGCGGCATCTTGGGTAACAGTTTGTTAAGCAAACAAAGAGGAAGTCAGTAAATAGTATAGCACAACAACTGATTTTAATAAATTTAGAGTAAAATACTGATAATTTTGAGTATAAAATTAAACATTTTGGCAATAAAGTTAGAAAAACAACAACTTTTGCTCTCCAGACAATAATAAGAAACTTTTTATTACTGCTTAAGTTTCTCCATTGTGACTTATTGAGGGCGAGTAATACAAGAACTGTGTGATTTGAAGTTAATGTATATTTTCAAATCAAACAGTTTCCTTACTACTTGCTCTCAATAAGCCACAATAGTGAAATGTTGGTAATAATAAAAAATATTTTAATTATTATTTGGAGAGTAAAAGTCATTCTGTCCAACTTTATTGCCAAAATGTCTAAGTTCCTCCAGTATGTACTATAAATTCTGTAAAAAAATAAAAAACTGAACCAACCATATTACGGACAATTTTTAAGGAAATGTGAAATTTTATAGCCTGACATTGAGAAAATAATATTCTTGGTTTAGTAAAATTAACTTATAATGTCCAGGTATGAATACAGTCAATGTAAATAAATATTATGTTTAAGAAAAGGTAATATAAGTGGAAATGTTTGTAATGTAAAAATTATGACTAAAGCATAACACCAATTTTACCTTCTTACCTGCTACATAGTTTAATATTTAAAAATTTTAAGTTATATTTAGTATAATGTAATAACAAGTAAAATCATTTAAACATACCAAACATTGTGTTTAGTTGTCCAGGATGTTTGAACATGTTGGAGGCACTTTTGAAAACTCATACCAAGAAAACCTTTTTCTATAGACACACATACTATGTGCACATGCAAGAATTATTTTTAAATTTTTCATATCATTTGAACATGTGAAATACAGTCTTGAAAATGAACATTTGAGCAGCAATCACCCATAAAACTATCATGGGTCCATTATATTTTGTAAATGAAACTGTTACACGAAACAAGTATCTTAACATTAGAGCTGGGCAAATTAATCAA